TTTTTAAATTAGGTGATATAGTCATTTTGGATTCAATCCTTGGTTCAGGCAGTGTGTACTTGAACAAGCAATAAGAACAAGTTGAGATATCACTAGAGATTGTCAGCGGAATGAGAACAGCCTACTATTTTTTAATCTGTCCCATTAAAACATCCACATTACTTGCATGGTCAGCCCATAGTATTCTCAGCATCCTTCTATAGAACCGCATCTTTGTTGCTTCAAATTTTCTTTTCATCTTTCATCCAGCATTCACTGCCATATGGGAGGACTGAAGCCACACAGAAGTTTAGCATTCTTTTCTTTGTTTCTAATGAGATTTTCCCATTTCTTAATGGTTTGTTTAGATTTAGGAAGGCATCTTTTGCTATTCCAATGCACCTTCATATTTCAATGTTATATTTTCCATCCTCTGTTAAAACACTTTCCAGATATTTAAATTTTAATTTTTGGCATTTCTAATTTGCAGTTAACATCTTGGGTTATTCTTCTTGCCAAAAATGTATTCTGTTTTCTTACAAGTAATGTTTTATCCTTTCTTTTTTCTGTCCTTTACTACCTTTTCCATACAGTTTCCTTTCTCTGTTTGCTACCAACATTGTGTCATCTGTATACCTTGTGCTGTTAAGACTTCTAGTTCTCTCTAAATTGCTTCACTGTAAAGGTTGAATAAATCTGGTGAGAAGACACATCCTTTTCCTACATCTCCAGCTATTCTTATGGATTTATTCAATCAATTTTCTATCCATATGCAGGCAATTTTCTCTTGTTATAAGTTCTGGATTATTAAAATATCTTTCTGAAATAGATCAAGTTTTCTTAGCAGTTCAAACAATTCTTTGTAGTGAAGTAGTGCACCAGGTCTCTGTAATCGGCCCTTCAAAAAGTGTGGATGGTCCTGCACGAAACCTTCACCACTATAATCAAATCTCATGTGCTATACATGCGGGTTGGGGACCGCTTGTGAATTCCAAATTCCCATGAAACTCCAATATTGGAGCCAGCTCAACCCACCCTGGGTGAATGCTGTTACAGGTACAGGTAAACAATTCTTTGTATAATGCCTTATCAAATGCTTTTGCATAATCCATAAAACATTGGCAAATCAGCTAAATGAGCCCTATAACAAAGCATAAAATCTAAATTCTGATATATGGAGCAAATAGTTGAATTCAACTACAAATAGTACAAGAACAGGGTCAACTTTATTAAAGACAGTGGAACAATGAATGCAATATTTACCTAAGATACAAAGGTCTTAATTTTGTAGTTAATTCTATCAGAATGGACAAGTTTTGACTAGAACTTTTTCTCTTGACCAAAAGTCTATGGAATTCTTTTGCAACATTTGCACAAATAAAGACAAAGTAAATCCAAAATCAGACAGAAAAAAAGAGAAAACAGAAAATTTTAACTTTGTCATAAATTTATGAAAACTTTTTAAAAATTGACTTATGAAAGTTGCCAACACAAAAGAACTATCAGCAATGACAGTGCCACTTGACTATGCCTCCCTCTCTCTTAAAAAAAAAGTGGTATTTCTTTAATGGACAAATACAGAATGATCAATCACTTTGTTGGGAAAGGTTGATGATGACTGGTTTTAAAGCAGCAATTACAAGTTATAATTGATGGTTGAAGAAATGCAAATACTCTCAGGCTGAGGTAGGATGTGTAAGATGTCCTAAAATATAGCAAAGGGAAAATTACTTTAACTACTAATGTTGGTTGCAGCACTATGAACACAATCAGACAACAAATTTTTTCTTCTTTCTTCTATGTGTCCTTGTCCCTTCTATTCATTGTTTTACTGTTTTTTCTCTCTTTTTTTTGTCTTTTTTGTTTTACTTATTGTCTTACTTATCATTTACTTTACTGCCTCCACACTGTCTTTCCTTCCTTTCTCTGATTTATTCCTCTATCATTTGAATTGATTGATTTGTTTTTTTTTTATAGGTTATCAACCCTTTGTAGGTTATTTTAAACCAAAATAGTAAGATTGCAATTTTTGTAACAATTGAATATCATTAGAAAATTTTAGAATAACAATGATTTTTACAAATACAAATCTTACCCATAGTTAGGGAAAAAAGATAGATTCATAACTTTTCCAAGAATATTTGTAAGTAAGTGAATATAAAGAACCCAACTAGAATTTGAACTTGGCTCTCCAATTTCTGATTCCAAGCTGTATCCATAAAATCACCTGCAAATATGGAAATGAATAGATTGGCACTTGATATACATATATATATATATATATATATATATATATATATATATATATGTGTGTGTGTGTGTGTTTGTATGTGTAAAACTTTTCACAAAACTCAGAGATATTCTGATCCTAGGCTATAATGATTACTGAAGTAGTGACAGAGGAAATTCTGTAACTTGTAAGAATTAAATTATAATCACAGTTGTATTTTACTGCAGACTGTATTTGATGCTGACATGCTTAAACAAGATTTCAACTTTTTTTTTATCACTGCCCACTAACTTTACTCATACTTCACTATTGCCCTTTCATCATTTCCTGTATTAACAAACTAAATATTTCTGTTGGTTAGAAAGAAGCTTTGATTATTAGACACAAAATATTATCATTTTTAATTAAACTTTTAAATTAAATCAAGTTTCAGTACTTGTCTTAAAAAAATCATGAAGAAAAGTTGGTAATTTCTATTTGAATTTCTTTGATGAAAAATTATCATTATTTACATACTGACTACTGTCCTTCTCTTTGTATTTTTATCTCAAGATTTTAAGCCATAGTGCCTCCAGGCCTTCATCAGGTGCTTGTTGATCCATCTGTCAGGGAATTTTGAACCTATCCTATATTTAATCTTTGGGGATAGATTGTTCTCGTTCTACTGACCAGGTCTAGGGATATATCATCTTGTAATTGAAAGTTCAATCTCTGGGCTGAGCAATGCAGGAAAATAGTCAGCAGTACTAACATTGTGATAACAACAACAATGATGAGGACACAAGTCTGCATGTAAAGAATGTAAATAAGTTTTGTTTGATTAGAAATTAATGCAAATGTTACACATTACTGATAGTACAAGACTATTGTGATGCATGCTATTGGCTGTGCATGACTGTCATAACATGTTAGATGTTATTGACTGTACAAAACTGTTATGACATGTTACATGTTACTGATAGTACACAACTATTGTGATATATGTGTTACTGATAGTACAAGACTATTGTGACATTTGACATTCTAATATTTTACTTACATTTTAATATTTCATTCATTTGTTTCAAGTTAGCTTTGTGCAAAACAAAAAATATAGATTTGGGAAATGCCTAAGTCAAATTGAAGTTGGTAATTTATGAGACCAGCATTCTTTAACATGGGTACAATCAAATTTTTATGCCTAATCATTGACAGTTTGGGAATTATCAATTTTTAAAATCATCTTTTAA